CCAGGGGGCACTGAGTTTGCGGACTTTTTGCGTCCCCAGCCCCTGGCCAGACCAAGGTAGATCCGTCCAAATCAGGAGGTACTGGGTCTTTCCAGCTTTCCCAGAGGAATTACTCCCAAGGTCCCAGAGCGTATCGTGGCGCCCCCTGGTTTCTGTCCCTCCGGTCCAGCCTTCCGGACCCCCATCATACCAGTGAGGGTACTATACAACAACCATCCCCGCAAAGCTAGAATGGTCGGGAGCACCCCCACTGGACACTGATAAGAACAGATACTACACTTGATCTTAGCCAAAAGGCCGAGAAGCGAATTATATTATATTATTTACTATATCTGAAGCCTACGTTTCCCTGTGTCAGTCCACACACTTCTGGTCACACCCGCATCCCTGACAGTGTGTGTTACACGAAACGCATTAGGGAGGTGCCCCTAACCATTACCAGCACACCGCACGGCCTTATACATGGCCGGCGGCCATATTGGATCATTTTATGTAAGTGTCTGATTTTTTTTTTTTTTTTTATGTCACCTTTATCTGAAGCAAAAAAATTACTACACTATTGGAGCTTTTCGTCTCTTGGGCTCATTTCTTGTACCGGCGAGCCCCCCTTCTCCTAAAGTGCTTCTTCCGACCTGATCTATGCATATTTGCATGATCCCCCTGGTGGCTGAGATCTGTATTGCGTGAGACTGCTAACCTGTCCTGGATGGATGACTCCTGGAGGTTAGTTCCTGCCTTGACGACTTCATCCGTGTGCAAAGTTCCCATTCCCTGAGTACCAAGGAGTAGGTCTTATATACTCCAACGCACAATCATTTGTGTTGTCTGGTTAGTGCATTGTACACCTATTCTCACAGCCACAGCAATCACGGAAATCCGCAATATACAGGGTGCGGCAACATAACTTCCTTTTTTCAAAACGCAATAAAACCCATTTTATGAATCAGAATTGTTTTTATTGCCTTTAACCACTTCCAGTCCGGACACTTTCACCCCCTTCCAGTCCGGACACTTTCACCCCCTTCCAGTCCGGACACTTTCCCCCCCTTCCAGTCCGGACACTTTCACCCCCTTCCAGTCCGGACACTTTCCCCCCCTTCCAGTCCGGACACTTTCCCCCCTTCCAGTCCGGACACTTTCACCCCCTTCCAGTCCGGACACTTTCCCCCCCTTCCAGTCTGGACACTTTCACCCCCTTCCAGTCCGGACACTTTCACCCCCCTTCCAGTCCGGACACTTTCACCCCCTTCCAGTCCGGACACTTTCCACCCCCTTCCAGTCCGGACACTTTCACCCCCTTCCAGTCCGGACACTTTCACCCCCTTCCAGTCCGGACACTTTCCCCCCCTTCCAGTCCGGACACTTTCACCCCCTTCCAGTCCGGACACTTTCACCCCCTTCCAGTCCGGACACTTTCACCCCCTTCCTGTCCAGGGCAATTTTCAGCTTTTAGCGCTATCACACTTTGAATGACAATTGCGCGGTCATGCAACACTGTACCCAAATTAATTTTTTACCATTTTTTTTGAGATAGATAAAGCTTTATTTTGGTGGTATTTATTCACCACTGGGATCTGTATTTTTTTTGCTATGTAAATGAAATGTCCAAAAATTTTGAAAAAAAAGTGTTTTTTTTTTATAAAATTTTGCAAATAAATAATATTTCATCATAAATATTAGCCAAAATTTATTCCGTTATCTTTTTAGTAAAAAAAAAAAAAATCCAAATTAGTTTATAAGCAAAAATTATAATTTTTAAACATTTTTTTTTACATTTTTATTTTATTTTTTTATATTATTATTTTTTTTATTTTTTATTTTTTTTACATACTGTCACCCTAGCAGTACACTGTCACCATGGTGACACTGTACTACTTGTGAGGGGTGATGAAGATTTTTTTTTTTTTTTTTTTTTTTTCTTTTACACTGATTGCTTTTACACCCATATAGGGTGTAAAAGCAATCATTTCTCTTTCTCTCTGTGTGCATTCCTGCACTCATTGAGAAGAACTGAGTGAGCTGTGATTGGTCACACCTTGTCACATGGTACAAGACTGTTGTGAATAGCCTTGTACCATGTGACCTCTGTGATCATTCACAGATTTCACACGTAGTAAGCAATGATGTCAGAAGTGACATCTTGCTTACTACTTTGCATGTGATCACTGATTGGCCAATCAGTGATCACATGATCGGGACCGAGGTCCCGTCCGACGATCGGTGTTTCACTGTGTCCGGAGGACACAGTGGGCACCGGATCGCGGTGCTGCGCGCTCCCAGGGAGCGCGCACAAGCAGGGTGTGGGGACGCCGTTTATAGACGGCCACCCGACCCTGCAGTGCCACCGTCCGGCCGTTTATATACAACGGCCGGTCAGGAAGTGGTTAATAATGTAGGTACATATCTAAAGTTCTGTTTTACACAGTTTTGAAAATCATATCAGGTAGGTGACGCCCCCCATTGTCCATACACTGCATAAGCCGATTTCTGGCGTTTTTTATGACCCTTACCTACATAGCAGCGGGTATGTTGTCAATTTCTGCGTGGATGTTGGCCTTCAGGTCTTGTAGGGTCCTTGGACAGTTTACATAAACGCGGGATTTCAAAAAACCCCACAAAAAAAAGTTGCAAGGGGCCAAATCGGGGGAGCGGGCTGGCCACTCCAAATCACCCCTTATTGAGATGAGGCGCTCCGGGAAGTGTTCCCTTAAAACAAAGTCCAAGGGCAGACGCATGTTTGCGCGCAATGCTGTGGGGATCGCAAGATTGAAGCTCTCACTGCTTCGATGTTCTCAGGTGATCTGATGGGTCGAGGGACTCCAGCTCTTCGTCTTGTCGTACTCGCGGTTTGTCTGAACGTAGTGACCCACGTAACAATTGATTTCCGGTCCGGGACACGGCCCAACGGGGCTACATTGAAGCGATGTCGGAAGGCGCGTTGGGTTGCAATCACAGAAAATCTGTTCGAAAAGTAGGCCTCTACGGCAAACGCACGCTGCTCACTGTTCCAACGCATGATGATGACTGACCTGGAAGAGAACAAAAACTTTAGAACTACGCCTGTCGCCTGAGACCACTCCCACCCCGCAATGGCCGCTACAGCCTGAATGGCACGCATTTCAAAAAAGGAGGTTGTGTTGCTGCACCCTGTATATCATACCGACTAGAGCACGATTGTCACTATTTGCACCTTATGGGATTTTACCTAACACTGGTCTTTTTACCTTTTAGCGTCGTTAGTTTGGAATACTACTATTATATTTACTAACTTTCATATTTATTACTCATCAATATTATTTCAGCGCTGCATTTTATACTTGTTTATATTTCACTGGAGGATTCTGAGGTTTCCCTCTTTATGCTGGCAGCTCTCCATCTATACCACAACCCAGCGCTCATTTATTTTGTCCCTTTTATTGTTGCCTCATCAGTGCTGCCTGTCCGTGCCACCTCATCAGTGCAAATCAGTGAAGGAGAAAAAATTACCTGTTTGCAAAATTTTCTAAACAAAGAAAAACTTTTTTTTTCCTCAAATTTTTTGCTCTTTTTTTGTTTATAGCGCAAATAATAAAACCCCCTTCAGTCTTGCACAGGTGTATCGGCTCCTCCCCTTCAGTCTTTCACAGGTGTACCGGCTCCTCCCCTTCAGTTTTGCACAGGTGTACCAACTCCTCCCCTTCAGTCTTGCACAGGTGTACCGGCTCCTCCCCTTCAGTCTTGCACAGGTGTACCGGCTCCTCCCCTTCAGTCTTGCACAGGTGTATCTTCTCCTCCACTTCAGTCTTGCACAGGTGTACCGGCTCCTCCTCTTCAGTCTTGCACAGGAGTATCGGCTCCTCCCCTTCAGTCTTGCACAGGTGAACCGGCTCCTCCCCTTCAGTCTTGCACAGGTGTGTATCGGCTCCTCCCCTTCAGTCTTGCACAGGTGTACCGGCTCCTCCCCTTCAGTCTTGCACAAGTGTATTGGCTCCTCCCCTTCAGTCTTGCACAGGTGTATCTTCTCCTCCCTTCAGTCTTGCACAGGTGTATCGGCTCCTCCCCTTCAGTCTTGCACAGGTGTATCGGCTCCTCCCCTTCAGTCTTTCACAGGTGTACCTGCTCCTCCCCTTCAGTTTTGCACAGGTGTACCGGCTCCTCCCCTTCAGTTTTGCACAGGTGTATCGGCTCCTCCCCTTCAGTCTTGCACAGGTGCACCGGCTCCTCCCCTTCAGTCTTGCACAGGCGTATCAGCTCCTCCCCTTCAGTCTTGCACAGGTGTATCGGCTCCTCCCCTTCAGTCTTGCACAGGTGTATCGGCTCCTCCCCATCAGTCTTGCACAGGTGTACCAACTCCTCCCCTTCAGTCTTGCACAGGTTGTACCGGCTCCTCCCCTTCAGTCTTGCACAGGTGTACCGGCTCCTCCCCTTCAGTCTTGCACAGGTGTATCTTCTCCCCACTTCAGTCTTGCACAGGTGTACCGGCTCCTCCTCTTCAGTCTTGAACAGGAGTATTGGCTCCTCCCCTTCAGTCTTGCACAGGTGAACCGGCTCCACCCCTTCAGTCTTGCACACAGGTGTACCGGCTCCTCCCCCTTCAGTCTTGCACAGGTGTACCTGCTCCTCCCCTTCATTCTTGCACAGGTGTATCTTCTCCTCCACTTCAGTCTTGCACAGGTGTACCGGCTCCTCTTCTTCAGTCTTGCACAGGTGTACCGGCTCCCCTTCTTCAGTCTTGCACAGGTGTATCGGCTCCTCCCCTTCAGTCTTTCACAGGTGTACCTGCTCCTCCCCTTCAGTTTTGCACAGGTGTACCGGCTCCTCCCCTTCAGTCTTGCACAGGTGTATCAGCTCCTCCCCTTCAGTCTTGCACAGGTGTACCGGCTCCTCCCCTTCAGTCTTGCACAGGCGTATCGGCTCCTCCCCTTCAGTCTTGCACAGGTGTATCGGCTCCTCAACTTCAGTCTTGCACAGGTGTATCGGCTCCTCCCCATCAGTCTTGCACAGGTGTACCAACTCCTCCCCCCTTCAGTCTTGCACAGGAGTATCGGCTCCTCCCCTTCAGTCTTGCACAGGTGTACCGGCTCCTCCTCTTCAGTCTTGCACAGGAGTATCGGCTCCTCCCCTTCAGTCTTGCACAGGTGAACCGGCTCCACCCCTTCAGTCTTGCACAGGTGTACCGGCTCCTCCCCTTCAGTCTTGCACAGGGTGTACCGGCTCCTCCCCTTCAGTCTTGCACAGGTGTATCTTCTCCTCCACTTCAGTCTTGCACAGGTGTACCGGCTCCTCCCCTGGACTGAAATGACTTCCTCTGATGTCACTGCACACTGTGAACGTCTCACCATGTGCATTAGAAGCTGCAGCAAGTCAGATAGAACTCCACATCATTTCCTGGCTGGAGGACATCCAGCATCATTTAGCTCCTTTCACAGGACCTCAATGTCTCCCCTGCCCTCTAATGCAGCTAACCAAGCACAGATAGTGATTGATTGGTTGCATCCTCAGCTACAGTAGCTGGGGAATGACAGCACTGCCCACAGAAGTAGGGCTGAGACAAGGGGGTGGGCAGGAGGGGCGGATGGGGGGTGTCAGGGGGTATAGATTGTTCTACAAGGGGAAATATAGAGAGGTGTGCTAGGAGTGGTGATTTGGGGGGGGGGGGGGGTCTGTGCTAGAAAAGATGATATGGTGGGGGAGGGAAGGGATTTGTACTTGGAGGGGGGATTGGGGGGGGGGGTCTGTGCTAGAAAAAGTGATCTGGTGGGGGGAGGGATTTGTACTAGGAGGGCAGATTTTTATTTAGGGGGGGGGGGGTCAGTGCTAGAAAATGTGATCTGGCGGAGGAGGGAATGGATTGGTACTAGGAGGGAGGATTTGGGGGGGGGGGAGGGGTCTGTGCTAGAAAAGGTGATATGGTGGAGGAATGATTTGTACAAGGGGAGGAGATTGTGGTGGGGGGGGGTGTCTGTGCTAGAAATGGTGATATAGTGGGGGAGGGAAGGAATTTGTACTATGAGGGATTTGGGGGGGGTCTGTGCTAGAAAAAGTGATATGGTGGGGGAGGGAAGGGATTTGTACTATGAGAGAGGATTTGGGGGCTCTGTGCTAGAAAAGGTGATATGGTGGGGGGGGGGGGGAGAGATTTGTACTATGAGGGAAGATTTTTTTTGGGGGGGGGTCTGTGCTAGAAAAGGTGATATGGTGGGGGAGGGAAGGAATTTGTACTAGAAGGGAGGATTGGGGGGGGGGGGGGGGGGTCTGTGCTAGAAAAAAGTGATTTTGGTGGGGGGAGGGATTTGTACTAGGAGGGAAGATTTTCTTTTTCTGGGGGGAGGGTCAGTGCTAGAAAAAGTGATCTGGTGGGGGAGGGAATGGTTTTGTACTAGGAGGGAGGATTTGGGAGGGGGGGTCTGTGCTAGAAAAGGTGATCTAGTGGGGGAGGGATTTGTACTATGAGGGAGGATTTTTTTGGGGGGGGGGGGGGTCTGTGCTAGAAAAGGTGATATGGTGGGGGGGAGGAAAGCAATTTCTACTATGAGGGAGGATTTGGGGGGGTCTGTGCTAGAAAAGGTGATCTGGTGGGGGAGCTAAGGGATTGGTACTAGGAGGGAGTATTTTGGGGGGGTTCTGTGCTATAAAAAGGTGATATAGTGGGGGGAGGGGAGGAAAGTGATTTGTACTAGTAGGGATGATTGTGCTGGGGGGGGGGGGGGGGATTTAGGGTGGGGTATTGTGGGAGGGGAATTTGTGCTGGGAGGTGGAGATTTTTGGAGTGGGGGGGAAGGGGATTTGTGCTCAGGGGAGACATTTGAGGGGTAGAGAATTTGTGCACGGAGGGGGACATTTTTTTTTGGGGGGGGGGGAGGGATTTGTGCTGGGGCCTATGAGGAGAGTGAAAATTTGAGCAGGGGGGATTGGGGGGTGGCAAAGATTTGTGCTGGGAGGGGGATTTTGATAGGGGGGGGGGGAATTGTACTGGGAGGAGGGGGGCATTTATGCTTAGGGGGCAAGCATGCAGATTAGCGCTCAATTTTTTTTTTTTGGGGGGGGGGGATTTTTGCTGACACCTAACACTCATACATTTGAGGGGGGGGGGGCTCAATTTGGCACGTTCGCCCGGACTCTGGATGACCTAGTAAATGTAGACAAGTAGACAAGGGGTTAATTTATCAATGTTTCCTTCACAGACGTCTGACATTTCCTTCTTCCGCGGTCAGATCGTCTCTTGAAAGCGCGACTTGCTGGAATTGCGGGAAAGACTTTGCCGCGACCTCTAAGCGACGAGAACGTGAATACTTTCATTGGTCGGGGTGCAGCGCGAGGTCATAAATCTGGAGGCCGGCCTCCTGGAAGCGAAAACAGAATTCAATTCTGCTAATTATCTGAAAACAATTTGCAAATCAGAACGTTCCGAGGCGTCCGCTCCGCGTGATTCATCGCCCGCCGAAACGCTTGTGTGGAAGTGCGCAGCTGTACGATCCGTGCCGCGCGTCTCGCGGGAGCCGTTTCATGGCCTTCAGACATGTTTTATTGCTCTTTATGTTCTTCTCGGCCGTCTACGGATTTTTTTTTTTTCACCGCGGTTGAGAAACATAATAACTCCGGTATTAAATGGAGCTGAAATCTGGGAGGGAGCGGATTTATGGCAGCTTCAAAGGGGGATTGGTTACAAAGCAGGGAAGTCGGTTCTATTGGTTGCTGACATTCTGTGCCCCAATGATGTCATAACCGCCGAGTAAAGGGATAGGCTGCATTCCCAGTGATGTCACCGATCTGCAAGATATAATTTGGATCATGTCACTGTGCCAAGCTACTGAGACTGTAAGTTAAACTATCTCACCACAGCTGGATCATTTATGCACATCACACTTACAGTTCTTAGACTGTGGAAGCAGAACATCACCGCTCTCTAGTGATTGGATAGGCTGCGTTCTCAGTGATGTCACCGCTCTCTAGTGAATGGATAGGCTGCATTCTCAGTGAGTCACCGCTGATGGATAGGCTGCATTCTCAGTGATGTCACCACTCTCTAGTGAATGGATAGGCTGCATTCTCAGTGATGTCACCGCTCTCTAGTGTGAATGGATAGGCTGCATTCTCAGTGATGTCACCGCTCTCTAGTGAATGGATAGGCTGCATTCTCAGTGATGTCACTGGTCTCTAGTGATTGGATAGGCAGCGTTCTCAGTGATGTCACCGCTCTCTAGTGAATGGATAGGTTGCATTCTCAGTGATGTCACCGCCCTCTAGTGAATGGATATTCTTCATTCTCAGTGGTGTCACTGCTCTCTAGTGAATGGATAGGCTGCATTCTCAGTGATGTCATCATCTCTCTAGTGAATGGATAGGTTGCATTCTCAGTGATGTCACCGGTCTCTAGTGAATGGATAGGCCGCATTCTCGGTGATGTCACTGGACACTAGTAATTGGATAGGCTGCATTCTCAGTGATGTCACCGCTCTCTAGTGAATGGATAGGCTGCATTCTCAGTGATGTCACCGCTCTCTAGTGTGAATGGATAGGCTGCGTTCTCAGTGATGTCATCGGTCTCTAGTGAATGGATATTCTTCATTCTCAGTGGTGTCACTGCTCTCTAGTGAATGGATAGGCTGCATTCTCAGTGATGTCACTGGTCTCTAGTGATTGGATAGGCTGCGTTCTCGGTGATGTCACCGCTCTCTAGTGAATGGATAGGTTGCATTCTCAGTGATGTCACCGCCCTCTAGTGAATGGATATTCTTCATTCTCAGTGATGTCACTGCTCTCTAGTGAATGGATAGGCTGCATTCTCAGTGGTGTCACTGCTCTCTAGTGAATGGATAGGACTGCATTCTCAGTGATGTCACCGCTTTCTAGTGAATGGATAGGCTGCATTCTCAGTGATGTCACCGCTCTCTAGTGAATGGATAGGCTGCATTCTCAGTGATGTCACTGCTCCTCTCTAGTGAATGGATAGGCTGCGTTCTCGGTGATGTCACGCTCTCTAGTGAATGGATAGGCTGCGTTCTCCGTGATGTCACTGCTCTCTGATGTGAATGGATAGGCTGCATTCTCGGTGATGTCACCAGCTCTCTAGTGAATGGATAGGCTGCATTCTCAGTGATGTCACCGCTCTCGCTCTCTAGTGAATGAATGGATAGGCGCCATTCTCCGTGATGTTACCGCTCTCTCTAGTGAATGGATAGGCGCCATTCTCGGTGATGTCACCGCTCTCTAGTGAATGGATAGGCACCATTCTCAGTGATGTCATTCTCCGCTCTCTAGTGAATGGATAGGCTGCATTCTCGGTGATGTCACCGCTCTCTAGTGAATGGATAGGCTGCATTCTCAGTGATGTCACGCTCTCTAGTGAATGGATAGGCTGCATTCTCTGTGATGTCACCGCTCTCTAGTGAATGGATAGGCTGCATTCTCCGTGATGTCATCGTTCTCTAGTGAATGGATAGGCTGCATTCTCTGTGATGTCACCGCTCTCTAGTGAATGGATAGGCTGCATTCTCCGTGATGTCATCGTTCTCTAGGGAGCGCCATTCAGCCAGGCACCTGGCATTTACAAATGGGAAGGTCACCAGCAGTCTACTGATATATGCCAACCCAACCACTAGAATCTTATTAGCTATACCATTGAAATGGAACTTAAAAACTAATTGTAACTTTTTATTCTTCTTTTTAAGTCTGCAGCTTTCGTTAAAAAAATAATCCATGTTGATCCTGCCTTGGTGGTTCTTGTTGAAGCACTTCTTGTTGCAAGGTGACAACTCCCCATCCCTGTTTTCCAATTGTGCTCCTGCGTTGTCACCTGGTCACACAGGTTCCTGTTGAAAACTATAATTTCAACAAACATCACACAGACATGGTCCACTGTTGCCCGCCATCATGGAACCTACCTGAGAATGCCATGGAGCCATCACTGGAATGCATGAACACAGAAAGAGGATGCGTGAGATCTGAGATGCTACAAAGGAGGAATAAAGGTGAAAACAAGTTTGTTTGTTTTTTTAATTAGAAAGAAATGGCAATTGTTTATGATACAAAGCGTCAGGGCTGCTATCAGAAACCACGGGGCCCCGTACAGCCAACGTGACAGGGCCCCCAAACCAACGATGCTTCAGTTATGAATGAACACAGTGATTGATTGGCACCAATCACTCATTGTGTTCATTCAGAAAAGGAAGGAGCTTGTAAATGTGACATATTTACGGACTCTTCCCCCACTCTTCATCCCTAAGGGTCCTATAGTGTGTTTGCAGCTGGAAAGGTGAGAAGAGAAAGGGGTGGGGGGCACATGGGGGGGGGTCTTGGGCAGCATGGGGAAATGTATGGTGCATTGGGATGTGTTGCAGAGAGAGCCATACAGGGGATCAGTTTCCAGTAATTGCCCCCCTCCCCCGCTGTGCTGATCTCCCTCCCTGCTCACATCTGATTCACCCAGCTGCCTGGGCCCCCCTGCTGGTCTGGGCC